CGGGGGGGGGGGGGGGGGGGGGTGCGCACCCCCTGCACCCTCTCCCTAGATCCGCCCCTCTAATATATTTATCTATTAATTCAATGGACTTTTGTCATTATTTCTTGATAATAATATTGATGTTTACTTTTTGTTTCTGGTAGTAAAGAAGGCAGCACTGACAACTGATTATTAGCTGGAGCAGGAGCAGCTCTGATTGGTCACAGAATTTTGAAAAAAGACTTCAAACTGTTTTGAGAACGTCATTATTAATAGTGTCCAATTTGCTAGTCGGTACAGAACACAAGGTGTTGGTAAACAATGTTTTGGGTTTGAATTTTTTTGCACATCATTGAAATGTTGTATCCACACATGAATCACACTTTCTTTGAAGGAAGTAGATATTTATTGCCTTGAAAAGAAAAACGATTTCTGTAAAGTAATCATTATAAGTGTTAATTAGAAAGTAAACCCCTCCTGGAAGCTGATGTTATTGGCAATAGCTGAAACATTGTCAGAAATGTGAATAGTTGGTCAAGGTGCAAACGATTCAGGTCAACTTTGAGATTCTGAGGACAGTCTTTCACTTTTTTGAAGGTGTGTGTGGCTGACCATTCAACACCTCAGACACCAGACTTGAGGTCCTAGTTCAGGTTTCGTCCATTACGTTGTTGCTTTACACAAGGAACTTTACTCCATTTTGTCTCTCCTTACCCAGGTGTATAAATGGGTACTGGCAACATACTGCTGGGGGGAGGGAGTAACCCTGCGATCCTGTCCAGGGGGGAGTAGCAATACTCCACTGTGGTTTGGGCCTTTGACTTGTGTGTGCCTTTCCTTTTTTTTTCCCCTTTCACCCAAGGGCATACTTATTGCCAGTATTAGCTAACCAGGAGAAAACTGTTTTTAACAATGTTATTTGAAACTAGTTTTTTAATTTCTTTGTCTTCTTATCACAATAACAAAAATTAAAATTAAAGATCACAAATAAAAAATAAAAAGGCAGATGCCAGTACAAATAAGCAAAGGTAAAAATATTGTTAATGACTTTTAATCAAACCAGCTTTGGAATTCACCTGTTTTCCAGAGTTCAGAACAAAATACAATCAAAACGTCGTATGCATGTGTTTTTATTGTTTTACAACCCTGTTATTTATTTCCCTAACACACTTTGTTAACATTTACACTGATACTATCTGGACTTTGTGATGCTTACTGATAGAGAGTTTTAAGTATATTTTTAGCTGACTGTCACAAAATATCTTTGTCTTTACTTATTGACAAAACCACAGAGGTAGCATGTAATAATATTATCTTGTCTAATAACATCATGTGCGAACATTACAGTAATCAGCAAGCTGTAATTATTTAAAGAATAAGACCAAATCAGCAAGCTGTAATTATTAAAAGAATAAGAACATAAGATAATATTTTTTATTTGCAATTTGTTACCAATTTTAAATAACATTTTGGCAGCTTGAGACATAAGACCTGAGACCTTTGTGAATATAAAAAAGCTCACATTGAAGTGTCATTTAAAAAATACCTTCCTAATATTTTATTCACGCAGTGCTCTTCCCTCAAACCCCGTTACAAACTTGTATAAGCCCTGCAGGTTTTGCTGCCACAGTGGTTAAAGATTTCCATCAACTAAACAATGCAACAGCACTTCTGTCTTGTTTCTTATTTTCAACCGAGGTTACAGATGGTATAATAACCGACCACACAAATCAAAAGACTGAAAAGACATTGACGAGTCCCAAACCACAAGACAATAGCTAAGGAATAGACCATTAGAAAAGTGAAGAGGAGGAAAAAAAATGAAAAATTAATGATAAAAAATTCAAACATGGTAAAAATAAATACATTCAAAGCTAGCCTGCATAGCAAGCGTTTCCTTGCTGTTTCGGAGCAAAGAAAGACAGAGGAACGGGATTCTCGGTTTTGGCCGCTCGAGAAATGAAGCGAGAGCCCAAAAATGAAAGAGGGGGCCATTTTTCGTGCAGTCTTTATTGCGCGGTCTTTGACTCTCGAAACAGCATGGAAACGTTTCCTACACACACTAATTTAAAGCAGAAACTCCCTCTTACCCCTTTTCACTTTTCTTAATATGGTCTACCCTAAAATACCCATAACAAGGTTAATGCCTATGCATCTTGAACAGTTTTAGAGAACTCTTCTTTTACTTGCATCAGTAAAGAGGAATCACTTAGGACCTCAATAGCTGCAAAGCACAGGGCTTTAGCAGCAACAATGGTTTGATCATGGGCACCCTGTGTACCTGATACCTCTCGGAAGGCATGTGAGTGGTAAGGAACAGATTTTTTTATGCAATAAAATGGATGCAACCCAGGAACTATCATAGAAACATTTCCAAAGTCAGTGGATCCATCTACGATACTCTCTTGTTCTGCTTGTGATGGAAACACCATGCCCATTCTTTCAGCATATTTCTGATACAGTAGAGCAAGTTTGGTGTTTGATAGCACCCCAGCATGGGGAGTACTATCCCACTGAACGTCTACTGTACAGTTAGTAGCCTTTGCAGCTGCCTCAAAGCATGCATGAACCTTAGACTTGAGAACAGCACATTCTTTGTTTTTAACAGTACGTACCCAAAAGTCTAGTTTTGACTGTTCAGGTATGATGTTTGGTTTTACTCCACCATCAGTGATGACACCATGAACTCGCCAGGTTGGTTTCATCTGTTGTCGCAGCATGCTTATGGAACTGTAAGCCATGACAGCAGCGTCAAGTGCATTGCAACCCTCCCACGGGAATGCTGCAGCATGAGCAGCATGCCCCTTGTAGACAACTTTAACTTTTTCAAGAGCTTGAGAGACATAAAAGGCAGCATTAAATGGGGCGGGGTGTAACATTACGCAAAAATCCACGTCTTTAAAGCAACCGTGGTTGATCATTTCAATTTTTCCCCCGCCTCCTTCCTCCGCAGGCGTTCCCATAGCCACCACTCTAGCCTTAAGACCTGCTTCTATAGCGGACTTTAACCCTACGGCCACAGCAACACCAGCAATGGCGATCAAGTTATGGCCGCATCCGTGACCAACTCCGGGCAATGCGTCGTATTCGCAAAGCACACCAACTGTTGGGCCTGAGTCTTTGTCACCGAACTCTGCTCTAAACGCGGTCGGCAAAGTGTAGTGTTTCGTTACATCAAAGCCCTGCTCCGTAAAATAGTCGCTCAAAATTCCATGGGCGAAATGCTCTTCGTAGCCCAACTCGGGTTTTTCCCATATCTTTAAGCTTATTTCTTGAAGATCTTTCGCTCGGCTTTCGATCACTGGCTTAGCGTGGGAAATGAACATTTCTAGCCCACCCGACATTGCCGACACTTCCTCAAGCCACAAACACACTTGATATTATAACAGCGTGCATAAAACACTACGTGTTTTCTTTTCTTCTTTTTATAGATTCCTGAGGTTGTTCATGTGTTCATGCTTCATTTGGTTCATGTCACCTGAGCTCGTCCCCAGGGCTTATCCTTTCCATACAGAAATTTGAGATACATATTAAAACGGTAGTCCGCTCTCACCTCTAAGAATTTCTCTTGATAAAAAAAAAAACCTAGTATTTTATTTTTTCTCGGCCATCCTCGCCATCCCCCTCCTGGCTAAAAAAAAAGAAAAAATTGATCTTGCAGCAGTGCAGGGGTCTGGGGCATGCAGGTTAGGAGGGGGAAGAGGGGGACGATAATTTTATTCAAGGCATGCGCTTTTAGGCACCAAGATGACGTTGGAAGATCTACGGCATCCATGTTGTTGTGTCGCTCAGGTATTTAACGAAGAATTAATTTAAACCTTGAGACCATTTTCGAAGCCAAGAAAATCACTGATAGGTTTTTCGTGAGAAAGCCAGCTCGTTACTCGAGCAAGATGCATTCGACTGGGTTCCATGGCGTGTTTCTGTCGAGCATTTTAGTGGCTTTCTTATTGTATTGCGTTTC